GATCAGCTGACGGAAATGAGCTAGTGTACAAACCTTGGCCGGGAACTTAACGTAAATAAGATAAGAACGGCAAGGGAATTAACAGCCACATAGGCTATTCAAACGAGCACTAATTTATCACTTCATTGTTAATAAATTGTAACTCACCTCTTCATCCGTGAACTTAAAAATGTTCAACTGTTTATAATGTCACTGTTAATCAATTATTAACACAGAGTTTTGACTAATAAGCACATAGCAAAGTAATAATCACAGAGCGAACTGAAAACTAAACTGCAGTAGCGTCCGTGACACTTACTCTTTGAGAAAGTAAATATAGGGCTACTTAATTTGACAAAATTTATTTTGACATTTGCCGACGTTTCGACCTGAAGTTCAGGCCTTTATCAGGGCTAAGAAAAGAACCAGATAACAAGATATGAGAAACATAAGTAGTGTAGGTAAAAAAAAATGATAAATAATAATGACCGGTACAAAGTGTGGAATGATGAAGCAAACATAATCAAAAAAGGTGACATAAGTATTAAAATGGGAATCTTAGAATAAAATGTTCTAAAATTCTAAGATTGCCATTTTAATACGTATTTCACCTTTTTTGATTATGTTTACTTCATCATTCCACACTTTGTACCGGTTATTATTTATCTCTTAGTTCTTACTATTGTCATTCTAACAACTGCATTTTACTTTAATTTATTTTTGCCTTCTTATTTGACTTATCACTCCAACTATTCTTCTCTTCATTATTCACGACAGTCAACCATTTAACCACAATTATTTTATATTATTTAGGTGATTTTTTCCTTTTTTTTTTTTCCCTTCCTCAGTTTATTCCTTTTATTATTATTATTTTATATATATATATATATATATTTTATATATATATATATATATATATATATATATATATATATATATATATATATATATATATATATATATATATATATAGTTGCGGTCATAAAAATGGCATCATCTAGTAAATATTTTATTAAATTTTATTTTATAAGATTGCTATCTGCAAGATATCCAGATATTTCTTTGCCAGTTTTGAAATGATATTCTAAAAACAATCGCACCATTAAGAGGTCAAATTTTTCTATTGCTTTTTTCTCCTCCCAGTTCCTTTTTTTTATTTTTTCAATCCCTGGTGCATTTATTTTCTTTCTTCAAAACTATGATTGCCGTTAATTGGTGGTACTCTATTCTCGTTACTATTTCCCATGGAAATTCCTTCACTTAATGTAATGTCGTAATTTTAATATTTTATGACGAGGACAGTTTTTGATACAAGTCATAATAACAGCTTTTATCCTGGCATTTGTTAAAACTGAACTGAGAAACGTTAAAGTTTTCTTATAATCTTAATAAGTAAAAAAAAAAAAAGCATTTAATGGAATCAACATAAGAATCAAAAGAAATGGATGATGCAATTTCTATGACCGCGACTGTATATATATATATATATATATATATATATATATATATATATATATATATATATATATATATATATATATATATATATATATATATATATATTTTATTTCATAACCTTTATTATAAATTAATAAATGTGATTATAAGAATTTGACCTGCTGATACATTTATTGTAATTTGATATTGAACTGTTCATAATTAATTTCCTAATTTAATTTAATGGCAGGTGTGAAATAAAATTTGAGAACCCAAAACTACTTTAGAAGTTTACATCTTTAATAAAATAATAAAAAAATATTAATATAAAAGTAGTATTGATAAATTATAAAATCAAAAGCTGTCCATGTAGTTCTGGGTTCTCACATTAGAGAGGGGGAGGGACCCATGGTATCGGACCTGGTAGAAGTAATATTTATATATTATATTTAGTAGTATTTATATTTTTTTATGAAATATCTTATTATTTTTTTATGAAATAAATATCTACCGTTATGATATATTTAAACCCACACACAAATCATATAACAGGAGGGAGGACCCAGACTAGTACCAGAGCCCGGTTTAGGGATGTGATGCTCTTGATGTGGTTAATAACGAGATTACATCGGTAACTACCGCAGAGGTGAAAAAGGAAAAGGAGAGTAAATTTAGTGTATTGGTCTTGTTCAGGTCTAAGGGACCAAATTAGGGTTGAGTGGGAATCTGTACATTAAAAACAGAAAGGGAGAAAGCTCTCACCAATTTTGTCTTACTACAGACTTAATTAACATTGCTTTTGAACGTGATGAGTAGTATTTTACCTTCATAAACGGATATTTATTGTTATTGTGAATGTATATTACAATCCATCTTAATAATGTAATATGATAGTTTTTCGCCGTAACGATCCCTTTTCTGGCTCTCAGGAGCGATGGATTTTGATGAAGTAAGTATCAAACGAAAGGCTATAAAATGGAGCAATGACGAATCATAGTAACAATCAATCAAAATTTCAGGATGTAAAGTCATGAATGAAAAGAAAATTTATTTGTGATTGATTTAAAAGTATACACTTTTTTTCTTGATTAGACCCATGATTATTTGAACATTTACCAAATTCCCTACAAAATGAAAAAAAAAATCTGATCATTATTAACATACATATAGTCCATTAGATTTGGTATACATAATAATTTCTTCCTCTTCAAAGAAGATACTGCATTCACTATTCTACTACTGTTCTTTCCCTCTCTGATATATACTTTATTATTTCTTAAAGGAATTTTTTTGTTGGTACATATTTTATTTTTTATTTTTTAATAACTATAATCTCTTGATCGGGGCCTTTTTTAATATGAAAGGTAATACTCAGCATTTATAAATTGACTCTAGATAAGTAATTTGTACAAATATTTTGATCTATTATGTTAAATGAAATATTGTAATAAGATCTACTTATTTCTATATTATTTTGCTGTTTCTTCACTAAACAATATATTTTGCGAATTATTCACACCGGCCAGCTAGTTAAGTAATAAATGAAATACTGGAAGAATAATTTTTCATTAATTATTTCAGAAATAACCCATTCAAAAATTTAAGGCTTTATTGCAATGAATGTTTAAGTTATCCAAAGTTCAAGAAGTATGTATAATAAAATTTTACGAATAACCATTATTTTAGAGATAATTATTTCATGATTATTTCTCTAATTCATTTATTAAATAAATTATGCCAACAGTGCCTAGATTGCTGAAGCGATAGGCGTGATAAAGCGGAGTGATCAGAGCTGTGGTTTCACTGCGCCTACAGTGACCGTCACTGTTGAAGCACAGTGATTTCACAGCACCAACAGTGATTGTCACTGTTGGAGGCTAATGATTTCAGATCATCAACAGTGATCGTCACTGTTGGAGCACAGTGATTTCACAGCACCTACAGTGAGTCTCACTGTGATTTCGGTGCGCCTGTCACTATGATCACCAGCTCCGGCCCAGTTACTGTGACAGAATCACAACTACGCCTGTATGGCCCCATCACTAGTTCCCAGTCTAACCTCTTATGTTATTTTGTTGCCATTACAGTACTTTTCAAAATCCTATTGATATTTAAATGATTTTCAGGCTAGCCTCATAATTTTTTGTTTGTGGTGAACATGTCGATTTTCAAGCCAAATAAACATCATTTGTGGCATGTACTGTCTTTCTTGTTCAATCAAAATAACAACGCGAATGAAAGCTATCATATATTGTACGTGCGGAAACTTACGGTGACATTGGTCTAATGCAAAACACTTTACACTAATGTGTTAATTTAGAGGATTAAAAGATTTGATTTTAAGTTAAAAGATAAAGAACTCCCAGGTCAACTGAAAAAATTTCCTAAGCTGAACTGCAAGCTTTGTTTGACAAAGACAGTATGCAAACTTACCAACAAATGGTATAGTTAACCACTTAATAAGTGCTGGTCGCTAAACCATTTGTGATCTGTATGTCATGAGAAACATCCAGAAAGCAGGAAAATGAGTACTATATCAGTTGAATGACAGATGGAACTCCAAGAACGTTTTCATAACAAGTTCTCATTACAAAAGCATAACAGAAAGACTTTTTTTCATCGGGTTGTGATTGGAAACAAAAAATAAATATATTTTGAGAACTCAAATCTCCGGACATCATGGGCTGACCCAGATCAATCATCAACATTGACCACAAGATCGAATGTCTTCAGAAAGAAAACAATGCTGTGCATTTGGTGGGATCAGAAGGGTGTAGTGTAACCATGAGCTTCAGAAAACCAGGAGAAATAAGTGATACTGTTTGCTTCTGTCAACACATGATCAATTTGAACCATACATTGATCGAAAAGCTACTAGAATGGGCTACAAGACAGTAGTAAAGGAAAAGTAATTTTGCAGTTCAAGAATGTCCCACTACACAAAGATTAGTGGTCAAAGCACCATTTTTACACTTGGCTGAGAACTCTTGCCTCAACCGCTGCGTTCACCATACTTTGCCTCTTCCGAAATCACTTAATTTAATGATGTCTCACTCATTCTCCATGAAAAATTACAATTTCGGAATTGTCAAAAAATGGCTTGATGATTGGACCACCTCAAAAGATTTATGGTTTTTCTGAAGGCATCCACAAGTCGCCACAGATAAGATGAATGTGTAGCTAACGATAGCGCATACTTTGAATTTATTCAAGATAAAAATGGTAGACCATTTTTGCCTTTCTCCCAAATTAAACTTTTTTTAATAGAAAAAAATAAGAATTATTAACCACCTCTCCTGGTAAATATATTGTAAAGAAAAAATTAACTAATTACAAAAATTAATTAATTACTTTTTAATTTATATTATTGAATTTTTGTTTTGTAGCTAAAATAGTTTTTAGTTGCCTCATTTCAAAATTATTCATATTCTTTGAATATGATTATATGTATCAGTGAAATAAGTATTCGATACTGGTAATCAATTAAAATATATTTTTCATCTGAATGATTTCTTATTGTTAATTTGATTTAGTTTTCTTTTTTTGTGTTACTGTGTTTTAAAATGTTTTCAATACATTTTCAGTTAGATGGTTTAATTGCCAGGAATTTCGCATCTCAAGCCTCTAAATTAGGCTCATTTTTAGATCCAATGGCTGATAAGATATTAATATCTTCACTCTGTATTTCACTAACTTGTGTGGATTTGATGCCTGGTAGGTATAAATTTTAAAATAAGCCAAGTATATTTATAAATAAAAAAATCATTTATTTTTTTTGTTATTTAAAGTCCTTTTAAGATGTAAATGTTTAATTAATGTTCTTTAACTTCTATAATTTTGTGGTGTTTCTTAGGTGTTATGTCCAATAAAACATGAAAATTTTCAAATATTGTTTTATAAAAAAGTCAGTAGTGGCATTCCTAGTGAACTGTGATATTATAAGAAGTATACCCTTCTCAGAGTTCAGTTTAAGCAATGATAAATAAGGATATTTACAGGATATTTTAAATAAGAGTACTTTATTATTTATTTTTTATTGAGGGATATTACATTCTGTCTCAATTAAGAACAATTACAATAAAGATTAGAGAGCACATTCACACCATAATTACATAAAGTTAATGTAATACATAAAAATAAGAATAGACTAAAATACCATAAGGAAAAGAAAAAAAAATGAACTTCAAAAGATAAAATAAACATCTTAAATACAGGCATACTATACACTATTTACAATCAGCCAGAACTCCTAGCTATTCTTATCCCCCCACTCTTGGAGAGAAAGGCAAAGCATAAAAAAATTCCAACATTTTTCCCTTGACAGCTTCAGCAGTATTAAAGCCAATGGAGGTTGAGTCAAGGTGTCACATCCACAAACACACATGATTTGATTGGAGAATCTGACCATTGTTGGAACTGGATGCCAGATTAGCTGGGCACGATTCGCGGATAAAAGTTCAAGTCATTGAAGAATTAATACCGGGATACAATTTAATTATAGGGTGCGATATCCTTCAAGAAACAGGTTTGAAGATTAGAGTTAGCCGCAAAACTTGGAGTTACACCATAGAGCAAGCAAAACTACAAAACCACAACAGACAGAAATAGCGAGGGTTTCGAAATCGGATCCGTTGAGTGCGTAAAGGAAATTATAGCGCAATTTGTTAAACACAAAAAAAAAAAAAAAAAAAATTAAAAAAAAAAAAAAATGGATTTTTGCCAACCACAGGAAAAATTGTACTTCGGATACATTTAAAAACGGAAGCCCCAATATAGGTTAAGAATAGGCGGTTCCCCCAAGCTATGATGGACATCAGTAGGTAGCAGTTGGTAGAACTCCTTCAACAGGGAATAATCAGACCCAGTTTTTTAATAGTCCATTATAGTAGTCGAAAAAAAACAAGGTGGGTAGGGCGAAAAGGCGAAACAGTATCGAATGGTAGTGGACTACCGGAAGTTAAACGAGACAATAAAGGATAAGCGATTCTCCCTCTCGCGGGTTGAAGGGATATTCGATCGCCTTTCGGGAGGAACCATCTTCAGTACCCCAAGAGCGGGTATCATAAAGTTAAAATGGCAGAAGGAGATATAGGGAAGACGGCATTTTCATGAGAGCGAGGCCACTTTGAATTTATTCTGATGCCGTTTGGATTAAAGAGGTCTCCACTAACCTTCTTGCGCCTCATGAATGAGCTACAGAGGGGACTAGGCGAATACTTTTCCCAGATGTACATGGACGATTTAATTGTCTTTAGTAATTCCATAGAAGAACATGTTTACCTTTTGCAACAAGTCTTCAACAGAGTGCATGATTTTCGACTTAAAATATCTTGCTTAAAATCTAAATTTGGATTACGTGAAATTCGTTTTTTGGGCCACTTAGTTTCATAAAACGAGATGCAAACAGATCAAGAGTGCGTGAAAGTCATCCAAGAAGCACCATTACCTAGGAATGTTCGAGGTGTCAGGCGCTTTTTGGGAATGATAAATTACCACAGAAAAAGCATCACTGGTATATCAGAGCTGAGCTGATGCACCCGATTTCGAAAAAAGGGAAACGTTTCCAACTAGGGCAAGGCCAGTTAGCAAGTATTAAGAAATGCCGAGAGGTCCTAACCAAGAAACCGTTATTAGCATTTCCTGACTTCTATAGAATGTTCAAAATTATCACTGATCCAAGTTAGGTCGCTACTGAGGATGGTCCTATCATAGAATTACGAAGAAAGTGAAAAACCCATACCATACGCGGGACAAAAGCTAAACGATGCCGAACGACAATACAGCGAGGTCGAACAAGAACTTCTAATGGTAGTGTGGGCGATGGAATATTTTCATCCATACATATATTATCCCAGTCCAATTAGCCCAAAAAAGGATTTTAGGTTGCAAAAGGCCGTGTAATTCAAATTTCTTTTTTATATTGTTACTTACGTAGTGATTATATGGTCTACTAAATCATTTTTGTTTTCATTGCAAATAAGTGATATCATTGATACCAGTTTAATCCTTTTATTCTGTTGTAAGGAATTGTTATCATTAAGTGTTGCTCTTCATTTTTTTTTTATTTATTATTTTTATTTTTTAGTTCCTCTATAAAAAGGAACTGGAGGGAAGGAGTTTTATTTATAACTGTATTTAGGATGTAAATAATAACAAGGAATATGTTATTTTTAAGATAACCAAGCTATCTGTTTACCAATAACTCTAATTGTATATATACCTATACCAGACGGAAATAATAATTAAGTGTGTTCATTGTTCATTTCCAGAAGCTGTGTCGCTACTCTGCCCTAAACCCCTCTATTTTTCAGTGCATATCTTCAGTCTAATCATAACTGTATATATATATATATATATATATATATATATATATATATATATATATATATATATATATATATGTATGTATGTGTATATATATATTTTTTTTTTTTCGGTTGGCGCTACAGACCTTGAAAGATCTTTGACCGCGAGATGTAGTCTTCTAGACCACATCCCGATTCCTGATTTAAGTACATGGGGGTAGAGTCATCAATCCTACTCCCGGTCAGTGTGAGTGGCCTCCAGTAGGCTGATGGGGCTCACACACACACATATATATATTCCATCCTTCTAATTATACTCATTGTAGGGTTGATTTTAGGTTGATTCATTCACTGTCAGTAACTTTTACCTTTATGATATCTGGGAGCTGATTTTGTATGTTCTGGTCTTTTGCAATGTATGGGAATAGATTCTTCTTCTTAAAATTATTTATCTTTGGCGAAATCTGAAAGCTGATCTCTTCGCTAATCTCCTTTTCTAGTGTCTCCTTCTTAGTGTGGTTCCAAACTTTACTATCTTTCTTCGGCCTACTTACAAAAGATATATTTTTGTGTAAAGTTTACAATACTTCATTTTTGTTTGGAATCAGTTTTATCTACTATTTTAAAATTATCTTAGCCTCTCATGTGAGTTTCCTCCTGCCTATCCCTCTTCTTTTTGTTGGTGCATTTACTACCTATTTATCAAGTGTTTGTTCTCTGCCCCTTACACTTATAATTAATTTTAATTTTAATGTTAAATCCAAACTAAAGTTTTAGTGTACAATATACAAATGTTTGAGAACATAATCTCATGTATATTTCTTATAACATTTCAGTATTCCTAACTGGACTGATTTTAAGTAGGGATGTTGCCTTAGCTTCTGCAGGTTTCTATATACGCTACAAGTCGCTTCCACCTCCTGTAAGTTTATAAATTTATTTTATGTTCTTTAAACACATTCAGAGAGTTTTAATTCATTTATATATTTTATATAAATACTGCATGCTTAATTTAAGTGGTTGATTGAAAAAAAAAAAATTAATATTTTCTAATACAGTGTAATCTCAGTGATACAAACTATTTGCTGCAAGGGAGTGTTTGGATTAAACAGGTTAAAGAGGAAAACAACAGAAAATAAAAGATTAAAACTCAATAAAAACACACAACTTTATTTATTGGATACATATATTAATTTTCTCTGCATCACTTTCAATTTGCAAGTTTAAAAATCTATTTAAACAAATAAAATATTCACTTAAAGAGGTCCTTCCTCACTGATGCAGACATTATGAAATAGGATTTTTGTTTCTGTTTTTCTGAAAAGTTTAATTTTATACTAGGACATTTAATCTCCTAAGAATAACAAAATGTTCATTAAAACCCATTTTTTTCTGGCTGCATTATAAAAAAAACATTATAGAAATGCATAACATTATAGGAGAAAGTTTTATTGCCACAGCCTATTTGTACTGTTATGCATTGAATTCGCTGATTGAAAACGGACATAGCATTTTTACACTGTACGTGTATTGCTTATTTAATCTTGTATCAGATTCCTGGAGTGTACAGGTTAGTGAGATTGCACTGTAGTTTTATATACAGTATTGTATATGATTACATACATACATACGCCTATATAATTACATACTTCAAGTTATATACGATTAGTGATACGAAAAGGGAGTGAAAAAATATATAATAATAAAATAATGTATATGTAAGTGTTATGTCCAAAATAGATTGATCAATGTGCTGTTTATCAAACAAACCTATGTAGTAGGGCAGTACTACTTTAAACAAAGTATTTCTTTCTCTGTTAACATTTATTTTATTTGATTCTGATCATGTTTCATCTTTTTCAAGTTTTATTTCTTAAATATTTATTATTAAAGATTACTAAAATATTTATATTTTTTAAAGAAAACACTTGTTCGCTATTTCGATGCTACCCATGCTACTGCTAAACTTGCTCCTACTGGGATTAGTAAGTTTAATACTACTGTTCAGTTGGGTGCTGTTGGCATTGGATTAATGTCACCAGTATTTGGATTTCTAGGTCATCCCCATCTTGACTATCTTTGGTTAGTATCTAAATTAATATTTTTAATTATCTTAATCTTCTATGTTTCATAGATACAGTAAGTGTGCATGCATAACTTTATTAGTTTATAAGTTAAATTAAATAAAAAAAATATTTTGTATATTATCTTATTTTACTATAGAAAAAATTCACAAAATATGCTGAAACTTTTCTTAGGAGACAGTTCTTTTAAGAGCATTTCTCCCAATAGTCCAAAATTTATAATCTTCATCAATTAGCAGTTATTTCACTGTATTATCTGTGTGCTCTTATTCTTGGAACTTCGGTTCTATTTATTATAGGTTTTTTCAATTATGTATTCTAGGAATATTGTTTGGTATTAGGAATAATAGTTTTAACCTTTTGTTCTCAGTTCTCCTACTGAGATTATTGACAAAATTCCATTTAACTTTAAAAGAAAAAATAAATGCGATTAATGTGAGATATGAAAGACTTCCTATTTGTGGAATATCTGCACGATATATGGATAACCATGAAGGATCTTAGAAGCAGTATTTCACAACAATGGTTGCCTGGTAAATAATGTGGCTTCTTCTATCACATCTAGCCACCTAGTATTTATCATTGTCGATTGTAGGGTCAGGTCTCCACATCATTGCTATGTGGTTTGTCCTTGAAGCGATTCCCAAATCCTTAGTCGATTCATGGCTAATGAAAAGAAAAAAAATGATAATATCTGTAATTGAGATTATAATTTATGACAAGATTTTGAAAGCCCAGTACATCACACATAGGTCCATTCTACTCTTTTTAAAATATTATATAATGTCATATAAAAAAAAATAATATAAATAGTTGGAATAATTTGGAGGATTCAGTTTCTACTAAAATCTTTACTAGTTGACCAGCTTCAATCACATTCAGTGCCTTTAAACAGAAATTTAAATTGAAATGAGCTGGAACAAAAAGTTGACATGTTTCTCAATGAAAATATTTAATTCCATTTTGATGGCTTTTCATTTTTTTTTATTCTCATATTTTTTTCAGTTTTATCTATAGTTTAAGAATATCAAGTAATCATTATTATTTATATTAAGTTGTCATTATATGTTAAAATATGCATATTATTCATTGCAGTAAATCTTGAAAAGATGTAATAGTTATTCGAGCCATATTATTATATGTTTTTTTATTATTTTTAATATGATTTATAGTATTTTTTTGTATTTATTACAATATGGATTTATATCTTCTGTTTTTTCTAGGTACTTTACAGCTACCACTACTATAGTATCAGCATTAAGTTATGTTTTTACCAAAGATACTTATAAAATATTAAAGAAACAAAAATAGTTATTTGTAAACAATTAACTAAAAAAATACCAAAAGAATAACTATTAAAAAAGTCATGATATTATATTTAAATTTAAAGATGCAAAATTTCAAATTGAAATATATTTTTTGTACTTCTAGTCTAAAGTGGGAGTCTAAATATTTTTTATTACAAACTTAGATGTCACAATTAAAAAATATTACCATTAATGTAAACATAATTTATGATTTTGATATCATAGATTGATAGTTTATCTATACATTTTGTTATTATATATAAATATATTTTATGTTACATCTCTAAAAATCATGATAAAATAGATTAATAAATTATTGGAAAGTTAATAAATAATGGATTGTTATTTTTTAAATTGAATTAATTTCATTTTTTTTCTTGGAAGTGTTTTACATTTTCTGTAATTAAGTTTTTTTTTGTGAAAACAGAAATTTCTTGATTATTTAATAGATTCATTTTGTATTTATGATTTGTGTTTTTTAATGATTTATTTATTTTTATGTTTTTTAATTAATTGTATAGATTATTACATAAATGTATTTATTAAGACTGGTTTAGAAAATTTTGATAAGATATGTTGGTTAAATATATGTATTTTATAAATAATAAAGACTCACATTGTTTTTATTTTTCATAAACACTTAAATCATTTATAATTATATTTACATTATATTATATTTATATTATATTTATATAAAACACATAAATCATTTATAATTTTTTTAGATACCGATAGATCCAAAAAAATGAAAATGGAATAAGTAAAAGTTTTTTATTCTTACAAAATTTCATTAGTTTACTGAAATTTTGATACTTCCACCGTTTATTGTAGATTATAGAACTTAGTAATGTGTTATGTTTGCTTATATAACTTGAGATAAATAAGTATGATTACCTCTAAAATTAGTAATTGTTAGTTTCATTAATTAACATTTGATTCAATTTAAATTCCGTATGAAATATTTCATAAATGTATGATTTTATTGACTTTGGAAGTGTTGTAAGTGCATTTAAGGTCATCAAAAATATAAATTTATTTTAACTAGTACTTTAAAAGCGATCACATAATAACAAATGAAATAACAAAAGATCATATTAGAATATACCAATATTTTTTAAACCATTAAAATACCTACTCCTAAATATCTTCATATATTATAAAATCGACTTATACCAGTTTCAAATAAAACGGCTCAAATATTCGTTTAGTATTTGCTTAAATCTAAATTTTGTTCTTTTTAATGTCCTGTGAAAGGTGTGTTTTATAGAATATTTCTTTATATTTTATCATCACCCTTAAATGAAACTTGTAAATAAAAATTTCTGCAAATAAGTCTTGAATCATTCTGAATACAATTTCAAAAAGTTTCTTAGCTACTCAAAGAGGATATTAATTATTAAAGTAAATCATTTAATCATTAGCTACATGAATTATATAAACTTTTAAAAAAATATTATTTCGCAATATGTATAACAAAAATATGTTTTGTTGTTTTTGTGTGGTAATAACAACAAACAAGGAAATAATTATTTATTTGAAATTTTAAGTAAAATTTACTGTTAAAATTTAATAATCATTAGCAATGGCTTATATTGATTATTGTCCTGAATTCATTTAAAGAAGAGCCTTTTTATTTAGAAGAAAGGAATTTACAAATTAATTAATTAATTTACAAAATAACATCTTGAGGAGAAGCCCTTCGTGAGAACACAGCCCTGATGAAGGCCTGAACCTTGGGTCGAAACGTCGGCAAAAATAAATATAATTTATTCGTTTTTACTTTCTTACATGTGACTGTTCACCCCCAACCAACTCCTCTTCATTATTTACAAATTAAATGTTTTATTAATAGATATTATTTATTTCATTAAAAATAATCAAAATCACGAAATTAAAGAAATTAATAATGAAAAATTAAACTGTAAGTTTAAAAATTATTTATTGAGAAGGACTTGATCCCTTATACATTTGATGTTATATAATCAAACATTTATGATCGATTTTGATAGTTCATTTAAGAAATTAGTGAATGTAATAGGAACCACCATAAAGAAAAAAATAGTTTTGTTTGTTTTTATTTCACTATCAATAGTTTTCTCTAGATTTTTTTTTTTTTTTACAAGGAATTTTGCCAATATAAAGTTGCATTTAATAAGGTAATATGTGTCAATATTTGGTTTTAAATTAGATTTGTTATTTATTGTAATAGAATTGGCAATGATGTTTCTATCAAGATAACTTGATAGATTTGTGAGATAATATTTAAGATTGTGTGTAATAATAATAATAATAATAGTCACTATATACTTTTTATTTTATCTTATTGTACCTGCTAATTTTAGTTCTATTTGTACATGTTCATGTGCGTATATACAGAAGGGAATTCTGTAATGTGTACTTATTTGATAGAATTTCAAATTGTTTGATTGAGTATTTTATTAATACAGAAACATACAAATAAGAAATATAGGGAATTTACAAAAAATTATATTTCATACAACTTTATTGATCAGTCAGAATTTAAAAAAAAAATATATTGACTTAAAAACAAACATAAGTTCTCAACTTATTAATTCTTAACTATATTTACTATTGGTTACATAATATGAAACTAGGCTATTGGCATAATTGACTAGCTTATTGTCTCTCACACTTGCACATTCTCACTTCGCATTCTCACTTTGTTTTGTACAAATTTCTTAAATAAAAATAATGAATTCAAATCTTGTTCTGAAAATATCTGCATCAACAGGTAAAAATTAAATCACAGATTGCACTTAAGCCGTTTATATACATTGAAAAGTAAGTATTCATTCTTAATATTTATTAACCAAGTAGAAAAAAGAATAAACATGTTATCATTTTATGGTTATTTATATATGTTATTGAACCATTAAAACTAATTATGCTATTTAAAATTTGATAACCAATTTAATAAAAATTTGATTCATGTTACTTTGTTAACATTTTCTGTGAATGGCCTCTTTTGTGTTGTCTTTTCATTAGCATATTTTATTTATGTTTTCTTAAATTAAATCACAGCCAATGTATATTGACACTATTTCCTGCATTAATTTTTTTAAAGCAACATCAGATTATTGTAAAGCATTTCAAAATTGTATTAAATTACATATCTCTTATTAATATTTCTAATTATTTGCTTCAAAATACAGAGTGTCTACCAGACCTGTAATGTCTGGGAAAGTCAAGGAATTTCGGAACTTGGAATAGCCTGGGATTTTGATGAAAAACACTAAAACTTAAGGAGTTTCTCTAGATAGGGTACACACAAGTGTGAATTTGCTGTCTGTTCTGAAAAAGATTGTGTTGAAGAGATACATATCATGTCAAATCTATTGCTGTGTGTTTTTTGATAAACAGTAATTTTTTTTTCAGTAATAATATTTCTAATTATATTTTTAAAATTTTAAATAAATTAAATTATACATGTAATTAAATATATATACATATGTGTGTGCAGCAAAAATAATACGGAAAAGTCAGAGTATTTAAAAAAAACATTTCAGTAGACACTCTGTGAAGAAATATTTGTTACAAAAATAAATAATTTTGATATAATATTTAATGAAATATATTAAGAACTAATCAACATAAAAACAAATATTCTGATAGAAATCTGTTGCCTGAAAAGACAATTCTGTAACCACTTTATTTATTTCAGTGTTATTTTATACAGTATATCTTTTATTTGTTTGCATAATTATAAAACTTCAAACTTTTAAATTAAACTATTTATATATTGTCAAAATCTTTTATTCTGGAAATTTGGCTAGTTTTGAAATGATGTAGGAGTTTTCATTATTTCTTCAATAAATTAATAATTTAATTTATAATTACTTATATTAAGGGTTATTGTGATTTTATTTTGCTTTTTAGAATAATAAAGGAAATTATTAACTGATAACAATGAAGTTACTTTTTTTTTTTAGTTAATTCCTGAAATCATATGTCGGTAAAACAATTGTTGGAATTTTTCATCCTAATGCCATAATTATAATTATATGCTCAAATTATTAATTTATTTTAACTTTATAAGCCACTGTATTCTAACAATTATCTGAAATATAAAAATTAATTAATTGGCTCACTTTAATCTTACAGTAAAGGTGTTAAAACATGTTGCTGAATTGGATCCATTATTGTGGTTTAATAATTACAGAATTGTCAATTGCTTTTTGAGGCAAAGGAAATATATAAAATACAGTATTGAAGCTGAATTATTCATTGAAATTGTCTTAAGGATAAAATTTAACAATTAACTATAAAAAGAAGTTCTAATTTATTTATTTTATTTTTTTAAATCACTACTAATTTCTTTCAAATATTATATTTTTACTTTCCTGGACATTTAAGTGATTAGTTGACTTAAACATTAACTATACTAAACATAAAAAAATGGCACTGAAATAGATTGAGTTTTACTAAGCCTTCATGTTTTCTTAATCTCTAAAATATATATTATATTTAATCACTTTAAATATACATTTATTTATATTACATGATTTACTATACAAGGTGTGCCTAGACCTCATGTCAATAAACTCAGTCTTACTTATTAATAAGTCATTCTGAATTTATAAGAACACTTGTTGACATAGGCCATTGATAGAAAACTTTTATTGTCAGTACTACTGAGAAGGTGGCCAATGTTGATACATGTAGCAACTATAATTGTGTGCATGTTGGGTAACGTCTGCCGAATTCAATATGTCAGACACATTGTGAGCTGGTCGAGGCCACTTTTGGGAGGTCTGGCCAGGATAGTAGTAAAGTGGTGTATTGCTTCCGGTCTTATTCCTGAGGATACGACTAATCGAACTCACTGATGGTACATTGAATTTGTCGCAAACACCGTCCGAAAGCAATCTGTCTCGGATTTCCCATGCGAAAATTCCTGGATCCTTTAGTTTTAACTCTCTTATATAAGCAACTACTTTTGGCGTTGTCACTCTAGGTTTGGATCCTCCTATAGCTCCTGGAAGGATTGACCCAGTTTCGTTGAATCTCGCTAAGATTTTGGAGACACAACCGTGAGAAACACGAAGTTGTCTGGAAATGTCACATGGTCTAATTCCAAGTTGAGCAAGTTCGACTATTCTTAGCCTCATGGAGTTGGGAAGTGGACGACCGTTGACGAACACTCCTCCTAGTTGATTCATCTCTCCGTACGGTTGCGTACAGCTGGATGTAACTGAAAAAGAAACCAAAGTTATCATTATTTTTTAATCTGGTTCATGTGTATCAACGTATTTTAATGACTGGCTTAACATTTAAAAAAAAATATCAATGGTCTCTGATGGGGCGAGCGATGTTATAAACCCAACGTAATCTCAACTCCTTTTCAAAAGGTGCCAATCATTTGATAAAAAAAATAGAGAAAGAAAAAAATACAAATATAATTAATTACCAACTGAGAGAAAAAATATATTAATTTAAATCTTGAATTGAAAGATTACAAAAAATAAAGATACAATTAACATTAACCTGGAAAACATAAATTATAATATTATGTACAAAAGGCAACAAAAGAAAAAATTCCTTCATAAACAAAATTAATAATAATAAAAAATAATAAAAATTTAAACATTATTTGAGAAAAATTAAAATGTTGATAGTTAGGTATTTTGTACCAATAAATGTTATTGACAATAACAAAAAAGTCTATTTTAGCGAGTTTTCAAAAATATTATAAGAGATTTTTTCTAGCAAGTTGTGACGAAACATTTAGACTTTGTTAATGTTACCAGATCGGTAATGGCGAAGTTCCATAAAGAATTATTGAACTCAATATAAATATAAAATTACCAGGCCTGGATTTGGAGATGGTGGAGCTTTCTATTCAGATGGCAGCCGATGTTGGTAGATCGACAGTATCGAGATGGGCTAGATGGATTATGTGGGGATGGCAGCACTCTAAAATTTCAGGTTTTAGGTTTCATGGATATGCAGAATTGCAAAGCCAAATTAACTAAACAAATTTCTTACTCATTTTTTACAAATTGATTAATTAAATTATTTTTATCATTTTTAAGTTAAATGAAATAAAGGTTATTTATTTTAGAAGCAATACTGTGCTTTTAAATCATTGCCGATATATTTATAATCAAATAAAAACGTGGAAGAAGACAAAAATAGGTTTTTTTTACAGAAACAACACCTGAGTAAAATTGAAACAAAAAGGTTTCTAATCATCTAATGATATGAGCATTGATAAAACCAACATAAATAATGTAAAATTTGTTTGTTTACACTATATATTTTTTAAAAACTTTTTATCTTCTAGCATTTTCGTGTAATAAAGCTTTTCGCTTTTTTTTTTGTAAAATCTTGAATGTGCCACATATGTAATTTCTAAAATATGTTTAACACATTGAACAGATCTTTACTAGATATAAATAATATGATTTCATGTTTAATGCTCTTTAAAATAACTATAAATGAAGTATCTCGTAGCGCATTGCAGTTGTAACCTCAAATCAATTTCTTTCAAAAGTTGTCATAAGTTAGAACCATGTCACACTGCTCATTTCTTTATTTTTCAACTGATGGTACTAAAATTCATTTAGAACATAGAATTTTGAAGTAAGTGATTTCTGAGTGAAAACTTAAACTCAAATTTGTTAGTTAGAGCCTTTTCAAATCATCGTCACGAATTATTGTTATGTATATATATATATATATATATATATATATATAATATATATATATATATATATATATATATATATATATAAGCTTTCGGGCTGAAGCCCTTCCCAAAATTAAATCCTTTATCTGCTAGTGATTTCATGTCACTAATTTTGTCACCCTCGTCTTATAGGATTTATCCTTAATTTATACATCATATGTTTGATATTCCATATATTTATTAATGTTAAGTTTAACTACCTAGATCAGGGGTGTTCAGAAGGGGGTTTCATGGCACAAGTCGCGCAACTAAATTTTTTGAGGAGGGCATATTTTGAATTTTTGAGAGGGGGGGGGGCAAAGTTCGACTGTGTTATGGATTTTCGGACTAAGAGACAAGCGGAAAAACATGAAACAGACCGCAGCAAGTGTAATTGTATATGATCTGCGATTTTTTAATTCTACCTGAGCTTATTCTGTTTTCAAGTAAAGGTGAGCAATAAATATATCTTGAGAGGAGGGGGAGGGGGAGCAGATTCTTGTGACATCGACTGTGGGGGGATTGGCACCCCTATATATTATTTGACTACAATTTTTTACCTACATATTATTTCTATTACTGTCAACTATTTTCTCAATATTTATGTTTCTCAATGTTTATAGCCCCGATGAAGGCGTGAAACTTAGGCCGGAACATTGGCACAAATGAAATAAGGATAAATATAATTTATTTATTTTTACTTTGTATTTTCATTGACCGAAAACCCCAACCAACATATCTTCAATATATCTTCCATAGTCAACAATTATCCACTATCAGCTTTAATTTATATTTTAGTATGTGCGTTGCATTTCGTCATGTATTTAAATTGCAATTCGTCTCCTCTGTATGGAATTCCCTTTGTTTTGACATTTCGTCTTTTAAAATTAATCGTCCTTGAAAACCGAAGAAGTGATCTATACTACAAAATTAATATATAGTAAATAGAATAAGATATATTTTAATATAGTATAAAATAAAAATTATGTGTTCTTAATGTTATGTTCCCGTATGTATATATTTATGTAAGCTGCAGTAAATAACATATTTTTATATTTAATACATTTTTATTATTAAGGCCAGTCAGGACCTGAAAAAGAGATGTTAAGGCATTTTTATTTAAAATTCTTCCCTCCCCCCCTCGATTGATTTCGTGCCATAAAAACTCTCAAATCGTAAGAATATTTGTAAATTATATGGAAGTACCGTACTCAATCAGTGTAGCTTATTAAATGTCAATGTTGTGTTGTATGTTTACGTTCAGCTGTGTTTTGTTGAGGAATTCGACTTATGAGCAAAGGAGTGTTGTTGATGTCCTGTTGACCCAGTAGCGAGGTGATAGACTGCGACAACTCATAACGAAGAATGGATGGTGACATTTCACTGGTCAGCACCTTTCAAGAACGTGGGCTCTTCGCATCAGCATGTCCCTCCACCGCATTTTTTTAAAAAGGTATTTTGTTCCTTTTTTTCTTTATCTCTCTTCGCCTCCGTATCCTTCTTTTTAGGACGTCGGCGATGACTCTAGCATCCTTCTCAAAGCCATGCGATATTTTCAGCTTTGAATAGAACAATCCATTAATTAATGGTAGCTATAGAAAGGATTTTTTTTATATTCCTGCAAATTGTTGTAACAGTAATATATATATATATTTTGTTCTTCGCCAATATTGTTCATATTGTTGTATTTCACCAATAAAATATTTTAATTGTCATTGTAAGATGAAATTACACTAGATATTTATTGAATATTTCTTGATAGATGATCACTGAATGTAACTAAATATTGAATGTAACTTATATAGAACTTAAACTAGAAAGACTAATAGTTAAAAACTGAGGTGGCAGTAGTTTCATAACATTTAAATGAGAATAAGAGGCGATTTTTATTATATAACTGCTTTTATATCATTCAAAAACTTTATCAAGTCGCGGGCGTTATCTTAATTCATCGAACGAAGAAAGTTAGCTCCATCATCCGTAGTTTGCGATCCTAAACTAATTCTTCTTCGCTTCTCGAATTTTTTGCACTTGCAGGCAATGTGTCTTGGATCCTCCAAGCATTGGCATGTTGGACAGTGACCACTCTTAGCTATACTCATTAGATATATATATATTTATTAGTTCTACCATGATTTGTCCTAAGCCTGGTCAGCTTTACTAAGCTGGAGCGGTCGAGATGAGATTTAAGAGCCGCAAACCATGGAACCAGTGCTATCTTCTGTTGAACTGCATGATGGTCCTTACCCTTCGATGCACATTCTTAGTCGTAGAAATTCTGGCAGTCATTTATTATTTCCCCCCTCACTACTCTTATCAAATCCAGTAAAGGAACCTTAGCATTTATTCGATGTAGTTGGTTTTGATTTGCCGTTTCGTCTGTCATTTCATTTCCTGATATTCCTACGTTTCCCGGCACCCACTGGAAAGTAAATTGTTGCTTGCGTTGTATATTAGTGATTCGATGTTAAAGGAAATGTGTGCCGGTGCTTTATTTTGATAGATTAATTTTAGGTGTTTACATGCAGTTGCTGAGTCTGTTAGAATAACTATTTTTATTATTAATGAACTTATGTGAAATATATATATATATATATATATATATGTATGTATTTTAATAATAGTTTTATTTTGATTTATTATTATTTTGATAATAGCTTTATTTTGATAGATTAATTTTAGGTGTTTTCATGCGGTTGCTGAGTCTGTCAGAATAACTATTTTTATTATTAATGAACTTATGTGAAATATATATATATATATATATATATATATATATATATATATATATATATAATATATATATATAAAATGATAATACGTGGCCTTTGTTTGAAAATGTTCTTACTAACAAATCTAAGAAAATTGAGTTTTCACTTAGAAATCACTTACAACAAAGTTATCTATGTTCCAAATGAATTTTAGAGCCATCAGTAGAAAAATAAAGAATATATATATATATAAAACTAAAATCTGTTGAATTATGTAGGAGTGATTTTTAGCCTTGATGTGAAATGTGTTTATGTTCTGCTTTTATGTGATAGTCTTTTTTTCTGAACTAAATATGGGCGAAACATCGACCTGGTCATAAATATTCGTAATCTAAAAAATATTGGTTTTCTGAACTAAATATGGGCGAAACATCGACTGGTCATAAATATTCGTAATCTAAAAGATATTGTTTTTCTGAACTAAATATAGGCGAACCATCGACTGGTCAATAAATATTCGTAATCTAAAAAATATAAACTTATTAAAAAAGTCGTCAATAAAAGTTAGAATATTACTAGTATATAACTGCGATAGAACTAAGCGATAAGATTCTCAAATTCCATTAATCATTAACCAGTCAACCTTTCCCCAGCTCAGATATCCATAGCTCAGGAAAGTATATTATCGCATCAATAAACAGAGTATTTATTATTTCCTAAGCAGTGCCGGCCTTACAGCCGATCTTCCGAGGCGCTTGCCAGTTGTTAGAAATTAATAAAAAATACAAAACGTATTCAAATAATTAATTGTTG